ATCAGAGTTGAGGAAGGTACATGGAGCTTTGTTGCGCATTCTGGTGGGTCAGGCTCACTATTTCTCTCTTGCTGGCTATAATGCCTCCCTAGATTCTATAGTGACTATCAGCAAGTAGCCGCTATCCTCATGGTTCCTTATAATCCTGTTTCAGATGTGCTATAGTTCCTTATTCTTGTGAAATTGGTCTGTAGTTTTTAGGTTAACCTAAATAATACACTAGTTCTTGTAAGATTCGTTAGAACAAGCCAGTACAATTATTTAATACCGAGGCCATTTGGAAGAGGCAGTTAAGTCACTCTTTAACAACTTTTCCCATGAATGGCCTTGATTGTTTATATCTTTACTTCTTCCCTTATAAATTTTAGCAATTGATATTCTTAAAATGGTATAGAGTAATATTGGGAGTTCACTTTGGAAATTTGGTTGGGTATATATATGAAATTTCAGACTACAACATCCTCACTCACAGTGCTGTGAATATTGTCTCATGAGTGTATACACTTGGTATTGCAGTTCAGGTGTTCTATGACAGGCTAAGAGAGAATACTTTCTTTTATAAGTAATTTATATACCCAATAAAAATATCAACCAGGCTTGGTGGCACACACCTTTAATCCCAGCACTCCAGAGGCAGAGGCAGGCAGATTTCTGACTTTGAGGCCAGCCTGATCTATAAAATAGCATTCAGGACAACTAGGGCTGTTATACAGAGAAAGCCTGTCTAGAAAAAAACCAAACAATTTACTTAGCCAAGTGTAGTGGCACATGCCTTTAATTTCAGAATGTGTGAGGCAGAGGCAGGAAGATCTCTCTTCATCCAAGGCCAGCCTGGTCTACATAGAAAATTTCAGAATATATAGGGCTACATCTTGAGATCACGTCTTATTAAGAATATTGGGGAGTAGACAGATGGTTCAGTGCTTAAGGGCACTTGTTACTCTTTTAAAGGACCCAGATTCAATTTCCACATGATAGTTCAAGACCATCTGTAACTATAATTCCAGAGGATCCAATGCCTTCACACCTCCACAGACATTGCATACATGTGATATGCAGACATATCTGCTGGCAAAAGACCCCATCCATACACATAAAATAAAAGTAAATATAGAAATAATTTTAAAAGCTGTTAATGAAGCCAGGGAGATAGCTTACTGGGCAAAGGCTGTGTGGGCCTAAAGACTGGAGTTTGATTCCTGGAGCCCTTGTAAAAAGCTGGATGCATCTGTAAATCTAGCATTCCTATAGTGAAATGGGAGGAAGAGGTAGCCTAGAGAGTATAGCATAAGGATTGGATCTTCTATTTCATTCCCTTGATTTATCTATCTGCTCTGTGTCAGCACGGTGATGTTTTTATTATGATATATCTATAATATAACTTGAGAGCTGGTATGATAATGCCTGAAGTACAGCTATCTGATATTTGACAAAGATGCCAAAAATACAAACTGGAGGAAAGACTGAATCTCAACAAATGGTATAACAAAAGTCATGTCTGTCACCTTGTGCAAATATCAACTCCAGCACCAGGTATGGTAGCATATACCTTTAATCCCCCCACTTGGATGGCAGAAATAGGCATATCTCTTAATTTGAGACCACCCTGGTGTACAAATTATAGTGAGTTCCAGGACTGCATAGAGACACCCTGTCTCAAAAACCAAACAAGCAACTCCAAGATGATCAAAGACCTCAATGTGAAACCCAAAACACTGAAATTTCTAAAAGAAAACATAGACATTACCTTACATAATATAGGTATATGAGATGACTGCTCAGGAACTAAGGCCAACAGTTGACAAATGGGACATCCTAAACCAAAAAGCTTCTGTACTGCTAAGGAAACAATCAAGTGAGGAGGAAGCCCACAGAGTGGGAAAGAACCTTTGACAGCTATACATCTGGTAGAAGATAATATACACCAAAATAAAAAGAAAAAAAAACTAAACACCAAAAACTAAACAACCCAATTAGAAAGTGGGCTATGGGAACCAACCAAGAGTTCTCAAAAGAGGAAATAAGGATGATTATTAAATATCTATAAATGTATTCAACTTCCTTAGCCATCAGAGAAATGCAAATTAAAACTATGTTGAGATTCCATCTTATCCTAGTCAGAGTGACTAAGATCAAGAAAACAACTGACAACAAATGCTTGCAGGAATGTGGAGGGAAAGGTGAATCCTTATTCATTGTTGGTGGAAATGCAAACTGTTGTAGCCACTCTGGAAATCAGTATGGAGAACTCTCACAAACTAAAAATAAACCTACTATATGACCCAGATATACCACTTCTTGGCATATGCCCAAAGGACTTGACATTCTACTCCACAGATACTTGCTCAGCCATTGTTCATTGTCACTTTATTCACAATAACTATGAAGTGGAAGCAGCCTAAATGTCCATTGACTAATGAATAAATAATCAAAACATACATATACAGAATATAATCCTACTTAGCCATAAAGAAATCATTAAATTTGCAGGTAAACAGATCTAATTGGAAAGTGTTATATTGAGTGAGGTGACCCAGACAAACACTGCATGGTCTCTCTTATTGTGGATCCTAGCTCCAAATCTTTAGACAAGTATATGACTTCGAGTAACTGCCAGGGATGTAGAAAGGGACCATAGGAGAGAGGGAGAGAAGGAGCTTTAGAAAAGGGGATAGTAGGGCATTGGTTCTGTGAATCGACTTTGAACATGAATGATGATAATGTTCCTCACAGGAGCCATAGACTAACAAAAACTTCAGTGCCAAGCAAGGGAAACCACCCTTCAGGTTGTTGATCATGGGATTCATGACACCTGCAAAGGAATATAGGTTATTTCCTTTGCCCTTGGTTGTCTCCCAGAACTTAAAGGTAATATTGCTGAAGAAACTACACAGTTCAGTTATAGGACTTGAATGAATTGAGTTGCTACTGACATAGAAGCCTCCTCCCTGAGGACTAACTCTCACAGAATCAGAAGGTACTATTGCAAGCTAGTTGTAAAGCCTGCAAACAACAATGACCAGCATGGCAAGACATCCTTAGTGGCCCAGATGACCAGCATGACAATATATCCCCAGTAGTCCAGATGACCAGCATGACAAGACATCCCTAGTGGTCCAGAATACCAGAATGACAAGACATCCCCAGTGATCCCAATGACTGGCATTGCAAGACCTCTCTAGTGGTGCAATGGTGGTGCTTTTATCTTGGGCATTACCAATAGCTGTCTAATTTGACTTAAGGCCTGTTCAATAGGAGGCAACTCTGCCTGGTACTGTAAACCTAGCCAATTACCTGCAGCTGGAGAGGTCATAGACCCTAGAAAAGAACCTACTGCTACCATTTTCCTAAACTCATGTAATTTCTAACTGCATTCTAAATACTTATCCTTATGCCTACAGATAAATGTAGCTCTCACATATTATCAAAAAAGCTTCTTTTGCAGCAGATGAAGTTCATTGCAGAAAGCCACAACTTGTCAAAATGTAAAGAACAACTGACCTCAGAGAGCCCATCCTCATTTGGCACATTTACAATACATTCCCTATACTGAAGGCTCAAGAAACAACAGAGGAGATGGTGGAAACATTGTAAGAGCCAGAGAGCCAGGATGCCTGCTGTGAGGTAAGTGCCTTCTGTATATGACATGGAAGCAGCACCCATGAAATCTCAATAATATGGTCCCCTAAACTGTATAGTGACCACTGAAGCCTACATGCCAACACAAACGGTGGGGGTGGGTTGGAATCGCACAAGATCCTACCCCTAGAGGAAAAACTATTTGTTATCAATGACTGCTAAGAAAGGGAGAATCAGTTTTCTCCAGAGACAATCCCTCTGATGTGTGTGTATGATTATAACAGCAATAATTAAAGAAGACAAGGTCTTGAACTTGAGAGTTAGTTGGGGAAACAGGAAGAGTTGGAGTAAGGAAATTGTGCAGTGAAAATGATGAATATGAGTATACTTGTGTGAGGTTCTCAAAAAGATTATAAAAAGTAAATGATTTTTAGAAAATCTTTTTATTGAAAATAATATTTCCATATAATATATTCTGGTAATGATTTCCTTTACATTAACTCTTCCCATAAATTCCCTACCTCCCTATTTACACAAACAACTCTATGCTTTCATTTTCCCTCTCATTAGGAAACAAACAGGCAAATAAAAGAAACAAACAAACCACAATAAACAAAACAAAAAGCACAAGAAGCGCACACACACACACACACACACACCATAAAAACAAAACAAAAAAAAACTGGAAGCCATAATATATAAGCAAAAGACCAGTAAGGTAAAAAATGCCAAATCAAAGTGACACAAAACAAAACAAAAAAATCTACAAATTATCATTGAGTTTGTTTTGCGGTAGTTATCTACTGCTAGACTACTGTTAGTTGTGGGTTAAGTGAAACTCTGCAAGGGAGAACTAATGTTTTCCTTTTCAAGTCATTGTCATTGGAGATAATTTCTTGGTTAGGGAGGGAAGCTCATGTCCACTTTCCCTTCTTACTGCTGGGACCCCATCTGGCCCTGTGCATGCTGCCATAGTCTCTGTGAGGTCCTAATGTGCATCAATTGTGTTGTATCTAGAAGGTGTTGGGAGCCAAATCTCAGGGCTTGGCATGAGATCCTAGGCCATACTTGGCAGGCCACATAGTTAACCTTTACATAGCAGCTCCTTACAAGCTCAGCTCAAGAAAAGACACAACTTGACCCAGTCCTCTACCTGCAGGCTCAATCACCTATGTAACCCTTCCTGGACCTCTTACTCATGAACTCTTTACCTTGCCAAACATCCTCTTTGTGGCTTCCTAATATCCTGCCTATACCCACACCTGGTGCACAAACAACCCATTCTGCCCCTCCCCATATCCTGACTATATAAGCTAGCCTGAGAAAAGTAAAGTTTGCCACTTGATCAGAATCCTGTCTTGTGGTCATTCTTTCTGTGTCTCTTGTCCCTATTCCCTATATCTGACTCTCTTGCCCCAGGTTGATGTCCTGCAGGTCGCGAGGACAACTGGTGCCCAACGTGAGGCTGGATAGAGTTGGGGATCTGGAAACTTCAGTGCTCATTAGAGGGACGGGCCCGTCCATGCAGTGAGGAATTCATGACAAGGTCGATCGTGAGCCTCGTTTGGAGGAAGACCCAGCAACCTGCCCAGCACTTGGGACTTTTAGTTCATGAGCACCACCTACGTGGAAAAGGTGAGTAATGGGACAAGCATTTAGCAAGGAAGACATTTCTTTCTGGGATCACAGAATCCCTCAAGATGCAGGGAACTTGGGTTAAGAAAAACCAATTGAGAAAATTAGGAAGGAAGATTTATATCTTTCTGGGATCAAAGAATCCCTCAAGGCTTGAGGAACTCAGATTAGAAAGAAACAAAAAAATCTTCCTCTTTATTGGGGATCTTTGTCCATGGTTCCCCCAGGAAGGAACCATTAAAGAAATGGACTAGAGTTGGCAAGTGCCTCTAAGAGTTGATCGTCTGACAACATGGCAGTCACGAAGTGCAACAGTGGGATGCGGCCAGATTAGGGAAGGGTCACTAGTGAGAAGCCCATGTTAGGTTGGTTTGAAAAGTAAAAGAAAAAAGCTTCACATGATCTTGTTAGTGCTATTATGTTTGAAACTGACAGTGCTTCTTTGTTTCTGCACCTGGCTTGTGGATCCACGGAGAATTTGTCCACTATTACAGTGGCCAATGGTGGGGGAGAGTTCAACATTCTCCTTGTCAATTCCTGGGGAATGCTGGGAAGTTGCAAGTGAGGTCATGGAATTAGGGAGGTTAAGGTTGACAGGGATACTAAGCTATCTCTGCAATGCAGGAGGGTAAGGAGATGTGGATGTCAGGAGGGACTTCAGTTATGAGACTCTTGGGCCTGAAAACATCCTTGTCCAAATTGCTGCTCTTGGTGTTTCCACTTTCGCTTTTTGCATGAGCCAGAAATGTTTTCAGTAGTTTCTTTTCTTCTCTTTTTCCAAAAGGAATGGTGATGTAAATCTAATATAATGCTTAGGAATAGAGTATACATGGGAGTTGTAAGTGAGACCTGGCAAAGAATTGAGCTGTGTAGCTAACACCTCTGGATCTGTAGTTATGCTCAGAGGCTTTTCTGAAAGCTTTCTGAAAGCTGTCCTGTCTTCTCATTCTTCTCACTTAACCATTCGTTGACCAAGTGCTTCTTTGTTTGGGGGTACTTTGTGGGACATTTATTAAGTGCTGGAATTTCCACTTCAGTAATTATTCCTGCTGCTGCAGTTTCAGTTTCTGGTTCTACAGAAAGTACAGTGTTTTCTTTTTTCTATTATTATTATTATTATTATTATTATTATTATTATTATTATTAATTCATGTTAGGGAACAGGCTTGTTTCACATGTAATTCCCCTCTCCCTCTCACTCCCCTCACCCAACCATTCCTTCTCCCCCACCTCCAACCTACCCCCCACCCCATCAACCCACCACTCCCCAGGCAGGGCAGGCCC